TGCCTGTGAACACTGCGGTTCTGTTTGCAATGTATTACAGGTGACAGTGATCAGAAATTATACTGACACTGCACTTCTTGTTAGAGGTGGGGGGGAGCATTGGGGCTAAACGCTAGTGCTGGCAGCGAACAGGGATGATCCTGCTAACACTGCGTTTTTGGGGACACTAATACTAAGGGGGCACTGGTATAATTTTGTTCGTGATCAATATATTGATCCGTACAAAGACTAAACTAGTAATGTTGGTGATCAGCGACCTATAGCGTGAGTGTGATAGTGTGCGGGCAATCTAACGCTAGCTAACTCTGGCTGGGAGGGACCCTAACTGACCATGACGCTATCTGATGTCACTAGTGGCATTAATACATGGGGGCAGGAGGCAATCAAAGGGTTAAATGTGGCAATCAAGGGGTTAAAATGCCTCTATCTAATGAGTGTGGGTGCAAATGTGCTGTTTTTACTCACGAGTGATGTCTTTTCTTCTCTCTCTGGAACAAAATGGCACCAGGGAGGGAAGAACCAGTTAGAACCTGTGTCTGTATTTATAAATACAGGCACAGCTCTGTATCTCCATTTACTGTAGGAGATCGGCAGAGTGCCGGCCAAAATCACTGCTGACATACACCTCCTACAATGAATAACAGTGGGGGTCAGTGGGGGGGGTGCGCTCTAAACCCGGTAGAGCAAAGCGGCATACGGGTACGTTGCTTTGCCTGCAGCTACCGCCTCTCCGCAGTACATTGCGGGTGGTAAGTGGTTAAAGTTAGTGGTTAATTATTTAATTATTTATTTATGTATGTATTTATTTATCACAATTTTTTATTTATATATGTATTTATTTTATTTGTTTTACATTTATTTATTCAAATATTGTTACTATTTTTTTTTTTTCATTTCAGCAGAAAATTACACACAATATGTGTAATAACGCGCTTCTATTCTTTTCTATTGGAATAAAAATGTGCCAAAAATAGGGACATCTGCCCAAAATGAACTACAAAAACTTTTTTGAGCTTCAGACGTTCTGCTTCAGGTGACTTGGAGTGGAGATCTAAACCATCTCCATAGAGTAATATTGTTTTTTTCCCCCCTGAGCATTTTGGAGCTTCGAGCTTCACGTTACAAAACGCTCAGGTGTGAATGGGGCCGTAAGAGCTGCATGAAAGAAAAGGTAATTTTACAAATGGAAATGGAAATTTGCTAGAAGAAAGGCCAGTTTGTGAGTGTTTGTAAATATGATGTAAATATATAAAATGTCCCATTAAGCTAAGCACGCAAAGTCAGATTTTGCTCAGAATGATTTAATTTTGATAAAAAAGACACTTCTAATCAGTAAACAGATAACTGTCTGCTATTTGCAATAGACGGCCTCTAGCTTTATACTTGTATTGGAAGTCAAACTGTCCTGCTTCCCCTTGACATACTGTATGCTTGGAAATCATTTACAGATTTAGAACATTTTTTGGAGTTTCAGTGAAATCATCGGGAAATGTCAAATCAGGGCATGTGGGGGGGGGGGGCATGATTGGCTGATTAAGTTTGTTTTTAACCTTACACCAAAATAGCCCCAAATACCCAACAGTGTAAAGTATCTGAACATTTATTAATATGGTATTTTTACACCTATGGACTAAACCTATTCCACTAATACCATACTACACCCAAAAACAAATGAAAAGACAAGTAAACTAAAACAAAGGCAATGCTCTGTTTTTTGTGTCTTCCCAGCAATCCTGATAGTGACAGCGACTCTTGTTGCTAAACCACTGTATCACAAATAGCAGCAGCATTGTCAGCCTGCTGTTCAGGTTCACCTTTGGGCTGCCCATAAGGATTGATAGCAGCAGCCAATGACTTCCGCTACTGTCACTGAGTCCAGGAAGGAGGGATAGAGACGGCAGCCTCACTGCTCTCAGGCACAGTGCTGGATCGAGACTGGGCTCAGGTACTGTAAGTATTAGATGGGGCCTGCGGGAGGGGACCGACAATAAAAAGTTTTTCCCTTAACCACTTGCCTACTGGGAACTTTTACCCCCTTCGTGTCCAGGCCAATTTTCAGCTTTCAGCACTGTCACACTTTGAATGACAATTGCACGGTCATGCAACACTGTACCCATATGAAATTTTTATCATGTTTTTCACAACCATAGATATTTCCTTTTGGTGGTATTTAATCACCACTGGGTGTCATATTTTTTTGCACTATAAAAAAGAGCAAAACATTTGAAAAAAGTTTTTCATTGTAATATAAAATTTTGCAAACAGGTAATTTTTCTCCTTCACTGATGTGTGTTGATGAGGCTGCACTGATAGGCAGCACTGATGGGCACTGATAGGCAGCATTGATGGGCACTGAAGATGGGGCATGGATAGGCAGCACTGGTGGGCATTGATGAGGAGGCAGTGATGATGCTGCACTGATATGCAGCAATGATTTCCACTGACAGGTGGCACTGATAGGCGGAACTTATGGACATTGATGGGTGACACTGATGTGTAGCACTGATGGGCGGCACTGCTGGGCACTGATGGGCGGCACTGCTGGACACTGGTGGGTGGCACTGCAGGGCACTGATGGGCACTGCTGGGTGGCACTGCTGGGCACTTGGGGGTGGCACTGCTGGGTGGTACTGCAGGGCAGTGATCATCAGGGTACTGATCATCAGTGCCCTGATGATCAGTGCTGATCTGCTCTGAAACAGCTGCCAGTTATTGGCAGTACTTTCTTCACTGTGACAGCATAAGGAAGTGCTGCCAGTAACCGGCAACTGTATTTACTCCATGATCTGTTGTGTCATTGGACACAGATAACCATGTGGTAAAAGACTGCTGTGATTGGCCTCTTACCTCATCACGTGATCAGCAGTGTCCACTGGGGGTGTGTGGGAGGGTGTGTTCTGGGAGGATGTCATGTGATGCCCTGTCAGAACTGGGTAACCGCACTGTAGTCGTCATTTGGAGAAAGCATTAAGGTATTCATCCATTACAATCACTTTAGAGGTTTACACTTCTCAATTATTTTTCACGGTCAGTGAATCATATAAATTTGTTCTAAAATATTTTTGGGCCCGAGTCCCTTCCAGCTAGTTGATCTATTCAGAACACCAGCTAGGATACATACAGATATCAGTGATACCTTTTTATTAATACTTATTTGTTGTTTGTATGTTTACCAGACCTTCCGAATATTGGAAATAATTGGCATTATACTGGTATATTATTGAAGGATATTCCTTTGGATATTAGGAGTATCTTATAAGTGTTCTTATGTGTTCGGGTTGTGTCATAGAACTTTATATCTTGATGAATTTTGGATTTAAGGTTATTTGTTGTGCTCTTTATTGGTTATTTTCTTTTTGTGAAGCAAAATGTTTGTAACTGGTACTGGGCCAGCATGCAGTGATGGTTCCGTTCAGTTTGGTTTGTGCTAACTGTATATTCTGCATCAACACTGAGATTATTGGTCTTTTCATTGTTTTCAGGTCCCGGTGTCTGAGTGCTCTGAACATTGTTTACCAGGAAGCAGAAAAAAGCTGAGATCAACAAAATATTCGTGCTGTTATGACTGCGTTCCATGTTCAGAAGGAGAAATATCTAACGATACCGGTATATCTGGTTCATGCTCGGTTTATACAAATATAGACAGTGTTGATGATGGGGGTGTTGGTGATATTAATCAAGATGATGATGCATACAGATGTATATACTATATCTATAGTCTGCATTTCACTTTTCTAGTCCTTTTCTTTGCAGTTGCTCTTTTTCATTCATTCATGTTCTCTCTCCCGCACTCTTTTGGGCATAACAACAGGTAGAAGAGTCATGAGTACACCCAGCTCTCACACCCATCCAGCCTGCCACTGTCTGCTCTAGCCAGATACCTCTGTGATCCTTCCTTTGCTCCCCCTCCTCTCCCTGTGCTTGGTGATGTGGGATGGGGCTTACATTCACACGCTCCACCACATGAATAGAGGTTGGCAGTTCCCTAATTGGCTGCCTCCAGACTGCACAGGCACAGTTCAAAATCATCAACAAATATTTTTTTTTTCTAAAGTGTTTTACCGCCAGCCACTTGCAAGTTGCAGCAAAGCCAGTGTATGAAAGGGGGCACTCTGGAGGAGAAGGATATAAGGGGGCACTAAGGGGTACTCTGGAGGAGGATGTAAGGGGGCACTCTGGAGGTACTATCTTAGTACTTCTAGAGTGCCCCCTTAGTGCCTCCAGAGTACCCCTTTACATCCTTATCCTTTACATAATGAATTTCTTTGTTCACAATTGGAGTTGCTGTCATGTTTTAGCTTGTCAGTAAAACAAATGTCCTCCATTAGTACATTTTTCATTAATGTCCATAAAAAAAAGTAATTGGGGGTTGGCAACACAGCCCCATGAGCAAGACCATCTTTTTTCATGGACACCCCTGAGCACAGTCCAGGGGCCCCAGGTGCATAGGGCTGCTGCAGTTTCCCTTTCCCAACAGGAGGGATTGTGAGTGAACAGTGCAACGGGTGGAGGAAATAACTGAAACCAATTTTTTTTTCTTCTGCTCCAGCTGCTGCAGTGAGAGCCACAAAAGATAAGTTCCAATTTTTTCTCCCACCTGCTGAACTGATAAGGGTTTCTCTCACTGCTTGGACCCCCCTGTACTGCTGCCAGCCTCCCTCCTTTCCTCTCCTGCTAGCAGCAGCAGGCACACAGGGGAATCTTTAGGATGGAGAACGCAAAAGGGGTCAGTAAATATGTCATTTACCAGTATTTTCCTTTTCTAAGTGAACTCAGTGATTGGTAATGATTAGAGATGAGCGAAGTATTCAAAAATTCGATTCGACTGATTCGGCGAATTCGTGGACAATATTCGATTCGAGTCGAATATATTCGCTGTGAATTTAACTTAAAAAAGGGTGTTTCTAGGCTTCAGAGAGACTTAATATTAGTGCAGAACACTGTACCTTTAATTTAAATGCCCTTGGAGTCTGCTGGGGAAGAGAAATAATACTGTCAGTCAGTGTGACATGCAGATGAGTGCCGTCGATCTTAGAATCACCGCACACTTCACTCATTTGGGCAGTCACGGGGCCAAAACCAGAGTGTGGAGCCACAGTGTGGCGGTGGAGGCAGCAGCAATGGGAGGCCATACAGCACCCTATGACAAAAATGGAACCCACCAGCAGTGTGAGGAGACCTGAAAGTGGCACATGGCAGAGTGTGGCGATGGAGACAGCAGCAATGGGAGGCCGTACAGGGACCCATAAGAGACTCTGGACCTGGCAGCAGCATGAGGAGGCGGTATATAGGGGCCTATGGCAGATTAGGGGCCTGGCAGCAGCTATGGGGGGCCCGTAATCTGCCAGCACCCTATGTCAAAAAATTCAACACACCAGCAGTGTGAAGAGACCTGAATGTGGCACATGGCAGAGTGTGGCGATGGAGACAGCAGCAATGGGAGGCCGTACAGGGACCCATGAGAGACTCTGGACTTGGCAGCAGCATGAGGAGGCGGTATAGGGGCCCATGGCAGATTAGGGGCCTGGCAGCAGCTATGGGAGGCCCGTAATCTGCCAGCACCCTATGACAAAAAATGGAACACACCAGCAGTGTGAGGAGACCTGAAAGTGGCACATGTTTGGGGCATGATTCATGGCGGATTTAGTCAGTTGTGTCAGGAACTGGTGGTTTGAAATCCAGACTAATCCACGCCTGATTCATTTTCACAAACGTGAGTCTCTCCACACTTTGGGTGGACAGTCGTGTCCTCCGCGGAGTTGCAATACCTCCTGCCGCACTAAACACGCGCTCCGATGCCACGCTACTGGCCGGGCATGACAGCCTTTCAAGGGCAAATTCAGCTAGTTGGGGCCAAAGGTCAAGTTTCGTTGCCCAGTAGTCAAGGGGATTGTCTACCTCGGTTGGCAGGGTGCTGTCCAAGTAGGCCTAAGCCTGTTGTTTGAGGTCCTGCTCCAGGTCCACCTGATGCTGCTGCTGCTGCTGCTGCGGCTGGTTATTAGTTTCCTCACTGCGCTCGTGAAGAAAGCTACTCATCATCGACTGCAGACTGAGGCAGCCGCTGCTGGTGGAGCTGCCACTGCTCCTACCACCCCACCCCTCCCCTGCTGCCATGGCAGCGGAACGCGAGCGCACAGGGCCCACAGTGTCTGAGGATGGACGTTGGCGCAGACAGGCAGAGACCAGCTGACTACATAGGTGGTTTTTATAGTACGTTATTTTGGCCTCCCTCTCAGCAGGTGTGAAAAAGGCCACCATTTTTGAACGGTAGCAAGGGTCCAACAAGGTGGACAGCCAAAAGTCATCCCTCTGTCTGATGGTTATTATTCGGCTGTCGCTACGCAAGCAAGCGAGCATGCTATGGGCCATTTGTGCCAAGGAATGCGAGGGACTCCCTGCCTCCATCTCCACAGCATACTGCCACGGTGTGTCTGGGTCCTCTGTCTCCTCTTCCTCCTCCTCTACCAGATGCTCCTGCTCCTCCACTCCTGTCCGCTGAGTGGAAAAACCACCCATTTCACTCAATAATTCCTGAGCACCAATGTCCTCCTCTACCTCCTCCTCTTCTTCCTGTCCTGCCCCCACAGGGGTCATGTGGCGTTGAGATCTGTGCGCCACGTCTACCGCACCCTGACCAGCCATTATTAACAGCATTTGTTCCAGGACGTGCAACAGAGGAATGACGTCGTTCATCCCATAGTCCTGCCGACTCACGAATAGCGTGGCCTCCTCAAAGGGCCTGAGCAAGCGCAGGTGTCACGCATGAGCTGCCAATGGCTGACATCGAAGTTACACAGGGAGTACCTTTATCCGCTTTTAACATCAGGAAATCTGTGATGGCCTTTTGCTGTTCGTAAAGGCGGTCTAACATATGTAGGGTTGAATTCCACCTTGTTGCAACGTCACAGCATGAGGAGTCGGTACGGGGGCCCATGGCAGATTACGGGCCTGGCAGCAGCAATGGGAGGCCCGTAATCTGCCAGCACCCTATGTCAAAAAATTCAACACACCAGCAGTGTGTGAGGAGACCTGAAAGTGGCACATGGCAGAGTGTGGCGATGGAGACAGCAGCAATGGGAGGCCGTACAGGGACCCATGAGAGACTCTGGACTTGGCAGCAGCATGAGGAGGCGGTATATAGGGGCCCATGGCAGATTAGGGGCCTGGCAGCAGCTATGGGAGGCCCGTAATCTGCCAGCACCCTATGTCAAAAAATTGAACACACCAGCAGTGTGAGGAGATCTGAAAGTGGCACATGGCATGAGAGACTGTGGACC